GTCGTCAAGTTGGACATAACAGGAAAACATATTCAAATTATCCTATGCAAAAATAATGAATGTTCATTTGTTAAGGCTATATATAATTTTTATTTTTTTTTGTTGGTTATATTAATGTTTTGGTTTGATATAAAACATAATAATTTTGTGTTTAGCGTACTGGTTATTATTTATACATTGTTCATTCAGTTATCATACAGAATGCATACTATTATAAATTTAGTGCTTGATATTGTGTTTCAATTTATACACGATTCATTCATTAAGTCCACAAAATTCATACATTCGTTACTAAAAATTGTTCCAGGTTAAGTATATTGTATATATTAGTAATAATTATAAAAAGTCAATTATGTAATTCATTCCAACACTAGTTTAAGGGTTGGTCATACATATATTAATCATATTTAATTCATGAGAAAATAAGACAAATGTGAAAACACAGTTCATAACATTTGTATATAAAAATCATACCACGATTAAATACAATGTCCAAACATTTAATATTAAAGTCATAGTAATAGATTTCATACACATGTCAATTAATGAGTAATCATATAGAAACACACTCATACACTGTTCATTCAGTAATCATATAGAATGCATATTGATACAAATTTATTGTTAGATGTAGTATTTATTATTTATACACTATTCATTCATTAATGACACAGCTTGCATATCGTTAATGATAAAATTTGTTCCATATTAAAGATATTGTATATATTAGTGACTAATTTAAGTTGTAGTCGGACATATATAAATCATATTTAATTCAAACGAAAATAAGACAAAATACAACTATAAAAATTATACCATGACTAAATACAAATATCCAACATTTAATATTGAAGTCATAGACATATGCATATAAAATGTATTTCATACACGTTTAATCCATTCGTTATACAAATTAAAAACACAATGCTACTTTAAGAAATAGTGTATCAAAACTGTATGAAGTCTGTATAATGTTTTTGTCCTGAACTTATAATATCCAAACATAATAGGTTAGTGCATGTCAGTCACCATGTGTACAATTAACAACACAGTGTTACAATTTTTAGAACATTCAAAAGAGAATCAAAAGGTGCAATCAACTATTTTGATAACATATTGTAGTATATATCATCAAATACTTAAACAAAAAAGAATTATCCAAAAGTTAAACAGAAAAAAATTATCCAAAAGTTAAAAAAATAATATGTAATTCTTAACCAGTGAAATTTGTCACTAATAATGAGAGGAATAACTACATCGTCAACAGTGTCCCATGGAATGTTGGCAAGCAATTTGAAGCCTCTAATGCACTGTCCAACATTGTGGTTGGGGGAGATGGATCTCATGCCACAATTTGACTCTCTCCACTGTTTCTCAATGTTATTAACCCACGACATAAACCAACAATCAATAGTGTTGTATGATAATGGACTTGAAGAGTAATTAGCCTTCTTTCGCAGATAATACATAATGCTATTGACATGCTGTTACCAACAAAATTCGAATCTGAGTCGGAATCAGACTCTGGAGGGGTTTCAACAATTTTTTCCCCTTCCTCTGAGGATTGCTCAAGGGATCCCAGTCTGTTATAGTCCGAGGATCTGATGAAAGAGGAGCCTTTTCACTGGAATAGGCTTGTTGAGATACTAGTTCAAGACCTTCTTTAATCTGTAAGAGAACATGAGAAATAAGAAATACATCATGAATTTGAAAGGAAATTCCTTCCAACATATAATGTCATTTAATATTAAACTTGCCCCAGCAGACTGGGTAATCAATTTTGATGTTGGACTAGATGAGAAAGAATGGAGAAAGTTTGATAGTGGGTTGTGGGTTGAGTCGTGTGGGAGTGAAGAAACGTGTGGGATGGTGGTGTGATCAATGATTGGAGATGGTAACGGTAAACAAGGAAAGGAAATCCCTAAAATTGGGTAACTAAAAATTTTAGTTTTTTTAAAAAGGAAGTAAAATAAAATTAATGATCTATTATTAATTAATAAAAAAAAACTATAAATAGATTAATAATTTATTAAATAAATATAAATAGATTAATAATTTATTAAATAAATATAAATAGATTAATAATTTATTAAATAAATATAAATTAATTTTAAAATTAAATTAAATTTAACTGATATGTCATAGCCCGTAAATAATCTATTATAAGCAAGAAATTTTTAAAAGTAGGTTTAAAACCCGTAATATTTACTCTTAAATATGTATATGGGGTGATTTTTCCAATTTGATACCTCAACAAAATTTATGAAATAGTATGCTCTTTATTGATGTTTAGAAGTGTATATAAATTGACATCGATTAATAAGCTATGTTTAGTTTGTATAATATCTTACAGTATGAAATAGGTAGGAAATTTGATATTTCAACAAATTTGTGTATTAGGATATCTTTTATTAGTGTATACAAAGTGTATTAAAAGTGGTATCAATTATTATGTTTAGTATAGTATGTATAAGTATCTTACTGTATGAAATAGGTATGCAATTTTTTACCCCAACAAATTTGTGGACTATTATATTTTTTATTGATGTTTAGAAAGTGTGTAAAAATTGGTATCAATTAGTAAAAAATAGTTTACTATGTATAAACATTTTTACTATATGAAATAAGTATGAAATTTGATCTCTCAACAAAATTTATGGAATATTATACTCTATTGTTGTTTAGAATGCATACAAATTGGTATCAATTAGTAAGTTTAGTTTAATATGTATAGATATCTTATGGTATGAAATTTGATATCCTATAAGTTTGTGAATTATTATATATTTTATTAGTGTTTAAAAATTGGTACAAATTATTATAGTGTATATAAGTATTTTACAATATGAAATAGGTATGAAATTTGATATCCCAACAAATTTAGAATTATTATATCTTTTATTGGTGTTTAAAAGGTGTATAAAAATTGATACTCAACTACCCATTAGTAAAGAGCAATAAATTGTGTATTAATTTTAAAAAGTGTATTAAAATTGGTATCAATTATTAAGTTTACTATAGAATATATAAATATTTCACTGTATGAAATAGGTATGAAATTTGATACCTCAATAAATTTGGAATTATTATATCTTTATTGGTGTTTTAAAAGTGTATAAAATTGATATCCAACTACCCATTAGTAACGAACAGCATATTGTTATTATTTTTAAAAAAGTATATTAAAATTGGTATCAATTAGTAAGTTTAGTATAATATGTATAAATATTTTAGGGATAATTTCAAAGACCTCCCTCCAGGTTTTGCTCTATTACGCTAATTTCTCTTGTGATTTATGATATTATGTTTACCTCCCTTATTTTGATTTTCTTGTAACCATTCTTAAAATTTATTTAACATAAGTATAGATAAAATAGAATATGACTAAATTACCCCTTTTAAAATGTTACTTTTAATTATCTAATCTTATCAGTATCTTATTTATCAAAACTTTATGAATGAGAAAGCCAACTCGCAGGATTAAAAAATAATAATCAAAATCTCTGGTCTCAAAAGTAAGAGATTTAATTAACTTAATGAAATACGTATTAAAAAAAGATTTTGATTAGTAGAAAATGCGTTCGAGTATGTTATTGCGCTTTCTTTTTTATTTTTAATTCTCCTTGCAGGAACACATACTAATTAAAGTGATGAAATTACATCAAAATTAATCTGGGAGAAAGAAGTTCATCTAATTTTAATTACAAAGTGATTGAATATCCAAAATGATCAAGATCCATTTACATGAGTTCATGAGGGATTAGAATGAAGAAGTCATCAACATGTAAAAAGATGAAAAGAAAAGAATAATTGCAGGCATTCTCCTTTAGTGGGTACGAAAATAATGTTATAAAAAAATTATGAGGGTTCAATTATGTATGTATCACAGTTCCAAACTCAGAGGACTAGAAAGTGTTTAAATTTTTTAATAGTTTTCCTTAATTAAAAAAGATATTCATAAATTAAAAAAAATTAACGTTAGATAAAGGATAAATTAGTCACATTCTATTTTATTTATGTTTATTTTAAATAAATTTAAAGAATGGTTACAAGAAGATCAAAAATAAGGGAGGTAAACGTAATTACATAAATCACAGGAAAAGTTAGCGTAATAGAGCAAAACCTGTAGGGAGATCTATGAAATTATCCTAATATTTTACTGTATGAAATAGCTATGAAATTTGATAACAATTTTTTATTTATGAAACTTGTATATATAAGATGCTAATTGTAAATGATGTAGTATTTTCAAATGAAAACTAATTATCCACCTCATGCAGATTGTTAAAAAAAAATTCTTCATCTAAAAAAACTGTGATTTGCATCATAGACGGGGAAGAGGTAGATGAAGATCCAAGAAAGGAGTTGAACTCGAGTTGTGGATATCTTCATCAAGTCAAGAAAAAATTAGAATGCTTGAGAGTGATGACCTAAGTATAAAGGAGGGTGTTGAAAATAAACTTGATTAATCTCATGTACATGAACTCTATCATGTATTAGGAATTAATGTACTCATGTATGGATAGGTTTTGTTCATGAACTAGGAGAAGATGAAAATTGTTCATGAACTAGAGATTATTAGATTATGTACATACTATAGAGAAAACCTATGCATACATATGTAGCATAGTTATTTTATTAAGTCAAGTTAGAAGTAAAGGTTTCAAATCATGATTTCGTATTGCATATCCAAATGGACCCTAAGTCTTTGTTATCAAACAACTTATAGTAAATTGTTTTTTGGATATTTGTGATTTCTAGTAATGTGATACTGAAAAAATTAGCATGAAACAGAAAGAATGTAGTATATCAAAATTAAAGAATCATAGCAATCAACACAGAATCTATTATTCCAATCACTCACCTTATGTACCTATTTCAATATTTTTTGCTTTCCCTGTATCATTACTACTCGCCCCCATTTTTGTATCTTTATATCACTGAAATTTGTTTTAAAAAAATTACGAAAATAGAGAAAGGATCGTACAAACATTAGAGAGCTACATAAAGTATTTGTTGTTCAGAGGAAGTTGAGATTGATCACGCCTAGAGAGTTTGACTTGTAGTCCATACTTGAGGTACATAGTAAGAGCCATTTTGGGCATAACTGGATGGCCTTCCACTACCTTGACATGGTAACGATAGAGGATGGATGCAGCTGTGAATTTCATTTGATAATAAGCAAAATCTTTGCCTAAGCAAAGGCGAGGTCCTCCGTTGAAGGCAGTGAAGCGGTATGCTGGTTCACTCATGTACCGTCCATCTCTCAACCACCTTTCAGGTCTGTATTCTCTGCAATCTTTACCCCATATACCTTCCATTCTTCCCATTGTGTAGATTGCATACACCACCTTTGTTCCCTTCTTCAATACTGTCCCGTCTGGGAAAACATCGTCTTCAACAACCTAGACATAACAATACAAATTTATTCCATCATCAAATACTATATAATAATGTTAAAGAATGACAAAAGTCCCACATCGGTGATTAATGAGATGGGTGGACTCCTTATAAGGCATGGACAATCCTCCTCCCTTTGAGCTAGCTTTTGGGGTGTGAGTTAGGCCTAAGACCTAATTTAACATGGTATCAGAGCAGGGCCCGTCTCACCCGATGTTGGGCCCCCCAAAAATCAAAAATTGCCCACGCACCATATGCTAAGATGCACTGGGCGTGAGGTGGGGTGTTAAAGAATGACAAAAGTCCCACATCGGTGATTAATGAGATGGGTGGACTCCTTATAAGGCATGGACAATCCTCCTCCCTTTGAGCTAGCTTTTGGGGTGTGAGTTAGGCCTAAGACCTAATTTAACAAATAACTTAATAATGCAAATTAAATTGGTTGTATGATTAGAGCCATTAACTCTTAAAATATCAAATCAAGTACATTTTAAGTGTCAAAATTGATCTTTTAAATAAGTAGTTATGTGTGAGGTACAAGTAACGTAACCGATAATTATCTAGTTTAAGAAATGATAATATGAGTTATTTAATGTTGAAAATAGAAAAGTTTTACCTCTTTGTGATCAACTGGGACAGAAGGGTACAATCTGAGAGCTTCAGAAAGAGCAGCTTGTAGATAATCCATTTTCTTGATCTCTGCTGGCTTGAAAATCAATGGACTTTCATTAATAGCATCCTCCCTTTCATTCAGAATCTTACAAATCTCAGCTAAAATCCTTTGTTCAACCTCCGGATTACGATCCAACAGCCAGAAAAACCAGCTTAATGCAACTGAAGATGTGTCTCTTCCAGCTAGAATGAAATTCACACATATATCTCTTAAGAACTTATCGGAAAACGGCTTTCCTTCTTCATCTCTTAACCCCATAAACACTGTTAAAAGATCTGATCTCTGTTTACTATCTGCTATAGAAATCTCTTTCTTTCTTGTTCTGATTACTTCATCAGCAAATTCATCCACTTTTTTCAGTGAATGTTTAAGTGTCTTCTCTGTTCCTAACCCGAGGCACCTCATGGTTTTCCATACAAGCGTGGGAGTGACAAACCGTAGAACGGTTGCCTCTGTTGCTAATTCGAAAGCTTTAGCAAATGGAATTTGGGGTAAGTGAGGGTGGAGACACCCTGGATCAACCCCAAAGGCAATCATGCAGACGTTATCGAATGTGAGCCTAAGGAGAACATCTTGAAGATCGATAGGGTTTGATTGCTTGATTGAATCTTCTAAAACAGGTAAGAGCCTAGAATGAACAAGCTCCAACAATGAATCTGTTGTCATGTTCCTAAACTTAGCAGAATGGAATTCAATGCTAGCTGGTTTCCTCTGTTTATGCCAATTATCATAATCTGCATTGAATATTCCATCTCCAAGAAGGTCTCTGACAGTGCTCCGGAAGTAGTCTCCTTTTGGGAAATTTGAGAAGTTTGTCTTAAGAAGATACTCAAGATTCCGGGGATCAGATGTGACCACACAGTTCAGGTTGGTAAACCATGGACCTCGGAATGTAAATGTCCCGTTCATGCGGCAGAGAACATCAGAAATCCACTCATACATGTCTTTACGTAGGCCTAAAATCAAAGAAGGCAACATCCCTACGAGTGGCCAGTTTGGTAGTCCTTGTTTTTTCGCTTGCCTTAAGGAATGTATAGCGATGAAAACAACAAGTGCGAGGAATATTTCCATGATTTGTATCTCTGGCAAGAGAAACAAACTGAGATGTTCAAATGAGGAAGAAGAAGAAGAAGAAGTCATGTTAATTGAGGTGAATGTATTCATGAGGTTGAGATGATAGGTAGTAGTAATATTGTTGTAGTTATAATAAGCATAGAGTGTGATTGTTTTGGTGTGATTTCTAGTGCTACAAATATAGCTTGTTTACAGTTTTGATTTGGTGAGCTGAAAATAGAAAGAAATTACTCTCTCATCTATATATGTTGTGATTTCAAATCACATTTCTTGTTGAAGAGGGTTTTTTGATCAACAATCAAACAGTTTTTTTTATCTTCTTATTTTGATTGATTTCAAAATATGGACGTGTCTCTCTCTCTCTCTTATTAAACCCGGTTGACTAAACTCGTAAGGCTTTTTTTTTTTGCAATAGAGTGGGTGAGATAGTTAACCTAAGTTACAACAGTTTTATAGTCTTTCCCGCGCACACGTTTTTCCCTTCTTTTTTTCTTCCTATAATCTATACAAATTTCAAGTTAAGTGTGCCGTTTAGCTACAAAAACTTATTGGTCTCTTTTACCCTTTGGTATGGTGGTGCCACGTGGAATCTCTTTTTTCTTAGTTTTTATGCAATTGAAGCAAAATAAAATAGTTACTAAAAAAAAAATATTCTGTCTGTCTCAATTTATGTGACACTTTTTAAATTTTGAGATTAAAATAAAAACTATCTTTGATCATATATTTTTTAATTATTGTGACTTATAATACTTTTTACGCAGTTTACAAATATATAAATTTCATTTCAAAAGAATTATAAATTCCACGCATAAATTTTCAGTCAAACTTACATTATTTGACTCTCCAAAAATAAAAATATCATACAAATTAAGACCGAGAGAATACCAATATTTGATTTGATGAAATGGAAAGAAAGATGATGAGGATGTAAATGAAAGTGGTGTTGGGAAGGAAAATGTGTGCATCGAATGAAAGAAAGAGAGGGTAGGAATTAGTCTTTCTAGGGGAAATAAGTGCAGAGGAAAATAAAATGTTACTCCCTTGGTTCCTATTCTCTCATTCTGTTCATAATTACTTGTTCACTTTTAAATTGGCACATCTATTAATAAAATAATTAATGACATAGTAAGATTATCATTTTACCCTTATTAATTATGAAGTGGATGAATTAAAAAACTTAAGATTTTCAAGAATTTCTATCTTTTTCAAAGTAATTAATTGAGGGTATAATAGGTAAACCAATTTGTCCTTTCTTGATTTGTCAAAATGGACAAGTAATTAGGGATAACCAAAAAAAGAAAAGTGGACAAGTAATTAGGAACAGAGGGAGTATTTGTTTCCAATTTAGATTTCACATATTTTAAAAAATTAGATAAGTTTATTATTGCATCATATTTAATGTTCTCTTAAAGTCAAGTTTTCAATAAACGAACGTAAACTAGTTTAGTTTGATTAATTATATTGCACAATGAACATGAATTAATCATTTAGATTTCTTATGTTGGTCAAATTCATACTTGAAAGACTAATAACTCTCAAGGGTAAAATAGGAAGAACAATGTTATTTATGTGTTGGTTTTGTGAAATAGCAAGTACTCCCTCCGTCCCATTTTATATGTCACTTTTTTACTTTGCACTTGCATTAAGAAATGATGTAACTTTACCCTTCTACCCTTATTTAATTTTTTTGGAACTCAAGTTTTCAATCAATGAGTATGAATTAATTTATTTTAATTAATTAATTTAACCAATGAACATGAATCATTTGCTTAGCTTTTCTAAGTTGGTCAAATGTGTATTTTCAAGGCTAATAACTCACAAGGGTAACAAAGGAACAATATGGTAATTTATCCATTGATTTTTTGAAATGACAAGTATTATGGACCAACTATTTATAGAAATTGATGACATATAAAATGGGACGGAGGGAGTTGTAGACAATAAAATTCACGTCGAGAAAATAATAATCAAGAACAGAAAATTATGCAACAATCGTTTTATTATTTCAAAGTGCGAGTGTTACAATCTCTATGATTCCTCTGAATTCGCCTTTTCAAATATAATTAAAGGGCTCTTGAGCTTGATCTTGAACTTGGAATTTATCTCGATCTTGATCTCGATCTTGAACTTGGACTTGGACTTGGACTTAGACTTGATCTTGAACTTTATCTTGATCTTGGCTTTCTAGTTGAATTCAAGGGCTTCAAGCTTGATCTTGAATTCGGTGGTCTTGATCTTGATCGTTCTTGAACTTGATCTTGACTTCTTCAAATCTTAAACTTGAACACTTGAATTCTTCAATTCTTGAATTCTCGAACTTGTAGAGAAATTGCGGCTTTTGATCCACGAACTTTCTCTAGCTTCTTGTTCGAATTCTTGGTTCTCTTTTCTGAATTATAAAGACTCCTATTTATAGTTTTAGAATAGGGGAGTTGTGATTGGAATAGGATTCCCTTCGGCCAATCAAATTTAAGTGACATGGCATATGTGCTTTATAGAGCGGGTTTTAATTAAATTCATATTTATTGAATTTAAATAATTAAATCAATTATATTAATCCATAATATTTATTTGAACTAATATATTCATGAATTTAATATAATCCGAATCATTTAATAAATTTATATTTAAATAAATTTTAAATAATTACAAATGCCCCTACTTCAAGTCTTGTCAGAACATTTTATTTTTTGGAGACCGGACGAAGTACAAACCATACGATAATCGTGTGTCATTTATTTTAAGGTGCACCATAATTATATTAATTAATGAACTACCCCAAAATAATTGGAGTAACCACAATTGGAGTCCACTATTAGTCATGTGGCCACCCTGCCACTTTTCCATTGGTCCAACCCAATTTGGATATGGAAAACAAAATATATGTTTGTTTCAACTAGGACATGGAAAGGGTGGATTTTTTTCCAATTTCAATTTCCACCGTCTGCACAATTGCGGCACAAGGTTGTTTACCATCGTGATCCGATTATTTCAACCGGAGGAAACCAATTTTATCAAGTAATTATACTGATATTGACAAGTTTACTCCTTTTAGGAGTTCAATTACAAATATTACTCCTACAAAGGAATTGTAATCCCACTCAACTTCAAATTCATATATCTTCTTTATTGTCCTAGCCAAAAAAAGAATTGTAGTTGAACTAGGAGAAGGATTTTATTCTCGTCACATGACATCTATAAATAGACACATTGTCTCCACAATTTTGTCTTCAATTACAGATTGTGAGCTACAAGCCTACGACGAAAGAGGAATAATTCAAGGTAATTTTCCTCCCTTTTTCTGATTTTCGTCGCTTGTTTTTAGCTTGACACATCTGTCGTAGAAAATTCATATCTCATTGTAGAAAAATTGAAATCATGAACGGTTTGATTTTCCGGAAACTAGACTTCTCGATCTCTAACATATCCAAAATTCAGAATTTAATACATTCCGAATCTTTTTAGATGATTTTTTGAAGTTAGCTCTAGATTCTGTCATGCTGAAAATTTCAGAGTTGTGCGGCTTTACTAAGACTCTCGTGTCTTGATGTAGGAATGACGAAATCACAAGCCGCTTGATTATTTTGAATCTAGACACAAAGGTCTTCAACATATCCAAAATTCAAAATTTAATACCTTCTGAATCTTTCTAGATTATTTTTTAAAGTTAACTTTAAATTCTGTCATGCTGAAAATTTCAGATTTGTGGCTTTACTAAAACTCTTGTGTCTTCATGTAGGAACGACGAAATCACAAGACGTTTGATTATTTAGAATTTAGACACAAAGTTCTACAACATATCCGAAATTCAAGATTTAATACCTTCAGAATCTTTCTAGGTGATTTTTCGAAGTTAACTTTAAATTCGGTCATACAACTGATATTCTTAAGGCGAAAGAGGATAGATACACATCCCTTTCCTAACAAAGGTAATTTATTGTATTCTTAAGGCGAAATCGGAAAACATCCCCGCCCTAAGAAAGGTAATTTATGGTATTCTTAAGGTGAAAGTGGATAGATACAAATCCCCGCCCTAAGAAAGGTAATTTTACGGTATTCTTAAGGCGAAAGTGGATAGATATAAATCTCCACCCTAAGAAAGGTAATTTATGGTATTCTTAAGGAGAAAGCGGATAGATCTAAATCCCCTCTCTAAGAAAGGTAATTTATGGTATTCTTAAGGCAAAAGCAGATAGATACAAATCCCCTCCCTAAGAAAGGTAATTTATGGTATTCTTAAGGCAAAAGCAGATAGATACAAATCCCCTCCCTAAGAAAGGTAATTTATGGTATTCTTAAGGCGAAAGCGGATAGATATAAATCCCCGCACTAAGAAAGGTAATTTATGGTATTCTTAAGGTGAAAGCGGATAGATATAAATCCCCGTCCTAAGAAAGATAATTTATGGTATTCTTATGGCGAAAACGGATAGATACAAATCCCCGCCCTAGGAAAAGTAATTTATGGTATTCTTAAGGCGAAAGCGGATAAATACAAATCCCCACCCTAAGAAAGGTTATGGTATTCCTAGGGCGAAAGCGGATAGATATAAATCCCCACCCTAAGAAAAGTAATTTATGGTATTCTTAAGGCGAAAGCGGATAGATATAAATCCCCGCCCTAAGAAAGGTAATTTATGGTATTCTTAAGGCGAAAGCGGATAGATACATATCCCCGCCCTAAGAAAGGTAATTTATGGTGTCAAGACTTGAGAACTTCAATTTTCAGACTTGAACAATTTGAAGACTTCAACTTGCAAACTTAAAGAATTTGAAGACCTCAACTTTCAGACTTGAAGAATTTGAAGACCTCAACTTCCAGACTTGAAGAATTTGAAGACCTCAACTTCCAGACTTGAAGAATTTGAAGACCTCAACTTCCAGACTTGAAGAATTTGAAGACCTCAACTTCCAGACTTGAAGAAGTCGAAGACTTCAACTTGCAGACTTAAAGAATTTGAAGACTTCAACTTGTTGACTTAAAGAATTTGAAGACTTCAACTTGTAGACTTAAAGATTTCAACTTGAAGACTTAAAGATTTCAACTTGAAGACTTCAACTTGCAGACTTGAAGAATTTGAAGACTTCAACTTGCAGAAT